AAAAAAAAAAAAAAAAAAAAGAATAAGTAAATCTTTAAAATAAGGGCAATGCTGTCAGATGGTTTTCTTCATTGCTGACTGGCTCATGGGGGTGACACTGGTGTCTCCACAGCACCCCAGAACAGGAGCAGCTGATGGTGGTGTGGCTCAGCTGGATGATCAAAGAAGAGGCGTACTTTGAGAGGTAAGGAAGCAGCGTGTGCTTACTGTTCAGAAAGCTCTTCTTATTTATTCCCCCCTTGGAAATTCATCGTTTCTCTTCTCTTTTAACAGTACATCCGGTGTCTCTGCTTCTTTTGGGGAGATGTTGTTATTAGTGGCTATGTATTTCCATAGCAACCAGCTTAGTGCGATCATTGACTTAGTCTGTTCCACTTTGGGGATGAAGGTAATTTTTAATAATCTTTTTTCTGAAAGAAAGTGTGCCTAAACTAGACACTCTGTCCTAGTGTATAATAAATACATTGTGTTAATTTAAGTAGTTTTAGTTGTTTTCTAGTTTGAAATTTTGTTAAAGAATCCCTAGAAAAATAGTAATTTTTAGAACATCTATTTAAATTTATGTATGTATGTGTGTGTGTCTGTGTGGGCGTATGTGCTCATGTATGCAATAGCCAATAGAAGCCAGAAGAGGGATGCGAACCCATGGTGCTGGAGTTACAGGCTGTTGTGAGCCACTTGACATAGGTGTTAGGAACCAAATCTGTGTCCTTTGCTGCGTTGTCTCTCCAGCCCTCTTTGTTGGTGGTGTTTGAGACAGGCTGCCCTGGAACTCATGCTGGTCTCAATCGGTTTTTACTTCCTGTGTAGATTTTCTAATTTATTATAAAGCTTAAATGAATGAACTCATTTATGAAAATATACACCAGGCAGTCACACATTTACATCTTCATAGACTTCTCTGTCTATTTAAGATAAAACTGTGGCAAGCAGTTACAAAATAAAAGTGTGAGTCTGCCAAATACTGTTTGATTATTTTTTGTAGAGATTTTTTTACAGTTTCATTGTTTACATTAATGCACAAGAGCCCTTAGTTTCCTAAAATCTTACCATGCCTAGACAGCCCCATTCTTTTTCACTTTTGCTTTTAAATTTATTTATATATTTGTTGAGATGAGGTCTCCTTATATAATCTGGGCTGTTCTGGAACTTGGTATGTAGACCAGGCTGACCTCAAATCTGTAGAGATCGGCCTGCCTCTGCCTCCTGAGTGCCAAGATTAAAGACATGCAATCACCACGCCTGGTCTGCATATTTGCTTGGTGAAGAATGGTCCCACTTGTTTTTTATTTTGTTGAATATTAGTAAAACTAGTTCTTCTGTTCTTTTTCTTTTCTTTTTTTTTGAGACAAGGTCTTGCTTCGTAGCCCAGACTGGCTCAAACTTTCATGTGATTCCCCTGCCTTTTCCACAGGAGTGCTGGTTTATAGGTTGACTCATCACACTCAACTTACTAGACTTTCTTCTAGCTTATTTGTGGCTTTATGCTTTGCATTTAAATCTTTTTTTCTCAGTACTAGTAAACAAGCACAGCTTCACTTATGCTAGGCAAGCGCCCTTCCACTGAGGTATATATACTTCAGTTCTGCATTGATTTTAAATTTTATTCCATTTGAAGTACTTGATGTGTAGTGTCATGTGTATAACAAAGTGTATGTGTATATGAAATATATATGTTTCTTGTTTCCATTTATTAGATAAACCTCTTCTATCCAGTTAGTGATAGTAGCTATTAGGTAGTGCCAATAGTTAGTACTATTTATTAAGTAATTTTAAAGTATGTTTTGTCTTTATTTTTGACAAAAAGGTATCACTATATTGCCTAGGTTGCTCCTGGTCTCCTAGGTGCTAGTGATCATGCTGCCTCATCCTCCCAGGTGTCTGAGACTACAGGCATGCACACAGGTGCATCTCTTTTCTAAGTACGCTTTATATTTCTTCTGCTTTTGTGTCTCTTAATGTCAGGCTTAGGAAGCCACTTGTGAAAGGAAAGTTTAACTTTTGAACATTAATATTGTATATCATACCCGTTTTGGGTAATAAATTCATGAGAGTAAATGTATTTCATACAAGTTTACATGCTGTTGGAATTCTTTTCACTATTTTAGATTGTGATTAAGCCAAGCTCCTTGAGCAGGATGAAGACCATCTTCACACAGGAAATCTTTACTGAGCAGGTACTTCCTTTTGTCCTTAGCTAACTAAACTACTTACAAGAAGAAAGTAGTCTTTTTTCATCATTTGCAGTTTGTAACGATAATTTATTTCATCTTTAAACTCTCTGCAAATAATTCCCTTAAAGTAAGTAATTCATTATAAAACAGTTTATGTTGAGTTTCTATATTCCTGAAAACTTTGAATGGGTACTTAGAGTATGTGTGGTTGTAGATATTGGTGATTTACTTGTGTGGGCTAACCATTTGGATTTCTCTGAGAAAACAGAGCTCTTGTTAGTCTTTAGGTTGTAAAGTGTTTGCAGTTAGATTAGAAGCTAGCTTCTGGTTCCTTATTCTTCTGTTTGCATTGATTTGGCTTCAGTACCCTTGTCTGGGGGTAAATCCAAGAATAATTTTCTTTTCAGTAAAGTGCTTCTAAAAGTAAAAATTAGTTCTCAAATCCATTTGCCAAATCAGACACACGCGCGCACGCGTGAGCCTCCTGAGTGCTGAGATTTCAGGAGTGTGCCAGTAGGCCCAGTTCATAGAACTACTAGAAAAAAAAGTTACCTTTCACAGCAACCCTTCAAGACAAGTTAGATGGTAATCTTTTATTTTATACATGTAAAAAATAGATTTGAAAGGTAAGAGACTTCTCACTTGGCCCAGCTACTAAGTTTTATGTTTTTAACATTATCATACGTGCATTTGTTTACTTGTTTGTTTTTGGTGGAGTTTTTGGTGGTGTTGGAAATTGAACCATTGGCCTCTGTATGTTAGCTACTGCTATACCACTGAGTTAGTTACACCACAAGCCCTTTAAATGAGTTTGTGTAAGAAACAAATAGAAATTAGAGATCTATACTAGTTCCTAAGTATGTACTACTTTGGAACTGCCCTGGAGATTGAACTCAGGAATTTGCACATGCCAGACAGGCATCCTAACACTTAGATATATTCCTAGCCTTAGTGAGATAAAGTCTCAGTAAGTTGTTCAAGATGGCTTTGAACTTGTGAACCTCATGCTTCAGCCTTTCTTGTGGCTGAGATTACAGATGAGTGTTACTGCACCTAGTTTACTTTTTTGACACTTAAAAATCATGAAAACGAGCCGGGCGGTGGTGGCGCACGCCTTTAATCCCAGCACTCGGGAGGCAGAGCCAGGCGGATCTCTGTGAGTTCGAGGCCAGCCTGGGCTACCAAGTGAGCTCCAGGAAAGGCGCAAAGCTACACAGAGAAACCCTGTCTCGAAAAACCAAAAAAAAAAAAAAAATGAAAACGTTCAGGTACAGGTCTGTAATCCTAGCACTCAGGACAAAGGAATAGGAGGATCAAGAGTTCATGGTCATCGTCCTTGGCAATATAGAGAGTTCAGGGCCAGCATGATCTATATGAGTCCCTGTCTCAAAACAAAAACACAAAAATGACAACGTGTACCAGTTGATTCTCATTATTCATCCTCATGGACTACATTGAAGTGTGGACGGCCTACTTATGTTGGTAGTCTGTATACTATACCATCTTTTAAAATAATGTTATATTTGTTATCTTATGTCTTATTTTCTTATTATCTTGATGCTGTTTTTTCCTTTTAGGTTGTTACAGCTCATGCAGTTCGAGTCCCTGTCACCAGCAACCTGAGTGCCAACATTACTGGGTTTCTGCCCATTCATTGTATTTATCAACTTCTCAGGAGTCGATCGTTTACCAAGCACAAAGTATCAATAAAAGTAGGACTTTACATTTAAATTTTCAACTGTAACTCAGTTCTTCCTCACTAGTTCTTGGTTTCTTTACTATGGTTCTTTCCTGTGGTTTGTATATCTAATGTTTGGTAGTAAGCTAAATTACTAGTTATTTATATAGTTAATCATTATTAATAACTCAATTTCAATTTTCAACAATATTATAATTTATTTACAAAATGTACAGCATTATTTTTCTACTTAAATTCTCAATAGCACTTAACTATTTCATTTAACAATTAGTAAGAAATTGCCATTTTTTTTACATTTTTGTTTTGTTTGATACAGAATCTCATGAAGCCTGAGTTGGCCTTGAACTTGATTTGTAACTGAGGCTGGCCTTGACTTCTCGGTCCTCCTGCTCTCCCCTCCTAAGTGCTGGGGTTATAGGTGTGCACTGACACATCTGGGCCGTTTTCTAGGTTTTACTTTTGTTCACCAGTTCTACTGTCGGTGTTCACAAGTTTGTCACAGACATAACCAGTGCCTAACTTACAGATGTGTCAGTTTTTGTATTTGCTCATGTCAGAGTTAAAAGTTCTTCCAGAGAGAAGACTGAAACCCATGAAGTAAAGGAATATTTTTGACCATCTATACAAGTTTCTTTACTTAAAAAGAACAACCCACGGTTTACATATGGCATGTCCCCTCAGGTGACCTGTCTGTGGTGGCTTAGTGAAATGATGACTTTTCAGCTAGATTGCATCTTTTGTTTCTTTTTGTATTTTTATCAAGCAGAACAGCTATGGATTAAGAGTCCAGCTAAACACCCCAAATTTCTACATGTCCTCTACTCATCAGTAGTTAGATGGTAGTCCCGTATTAGTACTTAATCCAAGCCCCTCCTTCCTTATTTTGAGACAAGGTTTCTCTGGGTAGCCCTGGCTGTCTGGGAACTTCCTCATAGAGCTGGCCTGGATTTAGAGATCTGCCTGCCTCTGCCTGAGATTAAAGGTATGGTCCAGCCTAAGTCACTTTCTTAATCAGGGTGTTTCTCAGAAGAAATAGCCCCTTGCCACATGTCCTCTTCTGCTGGGAAGTCTTCCATGACACATACAGATCTTAAATATAGACTGAGTAGGGACTGTTCAAAAACTCATTCCACCCAAAGCCAGGCCTCTCACCATGTTAGGTGTAGCTTTCACTGGACAGTCTTTTTGATTAAACTATAAAGACTTTTAATCCAGAGGTATTTATCAAAAGAGGTAGTATATTTTAGCTCCCCAAATTAATGGTGAATGCTCTGATTTGAAAAACAATGGAAAGCTATAGGTGCTTCTACAGTTTTGCTTTTTTATTTTTTATTTTTTTTTGCCTTGATTCAATGCCTTTTTCTTCCAGGACTGGATTTACAGACAGCTGTGTGAAACTTCCACTCCGCTCCACCCTCAGCTACTTCCTTTGATTGATGTGTACATAAACTCTATACTTACTCCTGCATCGAAATCAAATCCTGAAGCCACAAATCAGCCAGTCACAGAACAGGAAATACTTAACATTTTCCAGGAAGTCATTGGGGTAAATAAAATAATGCTTCTTTTACATCTGTTACATTTCTGCCTTAGTCCATATTTTTCTGTCCTCAGAAGTCTTATGTGTGATTCTGATTTCAAAATAAGATTAATGCATAGGTATGCACACTTGCACACACAATTGCAAATACATACATACTATATACATACAGTGAGATTAAATTTTATTAGCTCACTAATAAAAATATATAGTAGTATTAGTTCCAAGTAGTTTGTCAAAGAGCACTTATTTAAGAGTTCTTTTATACATATTTTAAAAAAATTATTTATTTTATTTATCTTTTGTGTGTGTATTCCTGAATGAATAGTTTTTGAGAAAGTGTCTCACTTTGTAGCCTGGGTGGTCTCAAACTCATAATCTTGCTGCCTGAATACTGGAATTACAGGCTTAGCCCACCATGCACAGCAAGGAGTTGTTTTGAAGCCTCCTGTTGAAGTAGAATGGGTATCTTGAAGATTATGTATTGCTAAAGGACTGTGAAATATTTCAACATATCCAACATGGTGTTGTTTAGCTTCCTGGGAATCAAAGATACACCTGGATTCAATTATGGAAAGTTTGGTGAAATCTTCTTATTTTGCTAGGAAAAGTTGCAGTTTATGCAGACACAGTTGAATATACAGTATCTATTTTGTGAATTGCTTTCTTCATGGCAATTTAATATAGTACTTCGATTCCTGCAAGTCTTTCAGAAGCAGGAGGGAGTACTGTGAAGAGGTAGTAAATGAAGTCCTGTGACGTTTTCCCCTCCTCATAAAGACCAGGAAAGATATCTCCTTTCATCATCATGTCCTTCCTTTCGTGAAGGCAGGCAGCCGTCTCAGTCTGCTGCAGTCTCCTTCCCAGTCCAGCTGTGCCTGGTGCAGCAGCCTTAGATAGTCGTTTTCCCTACTGAAAAGGAAGGCAGCTCTTGTGGTTTACTGTTTTAACGGTTTCGTATCCCTCAGGGTGACAGCGTCCGCCTTAATCAGCGCTTCAGTATCACGGCGCAGCTTTTGGTGCTCTATTATATCCTTTCTTACGAGGAAGCGCTCCTGGCAAACACCAAGACTCTAGGTAAGTCGCCCAGAGCCCAGTGGGTCCAGTAGTTTGTTCACAGTGAGTCTGATCGTCCAGGGACAGCTAGTGAAGAGGTCGTAAGGAGCTGCTAGGAAGTTCTTTTAGGCTGGATTTCAGACCTTTGGTATCATATCGTGGGACTAAGATGGCTTCTTTAGTTTTTATTTTAATGAACCCAGTTTGAGAGAGAAGAAGGTCAACTTTGGGCCATGGCATAAGGGGTAGAGTGGTTGTCAGTTGAAATAAGGAACCTGGAGAACCTAGGTTAGGTTTGCGGGGGCTCAGGAGCTCAGCTTTAGATATGCAGAGATCTCCGTTCTTAGAAGTGAGGACAGTGAGTGGGAGGCTGTGTACCTAGTAGATACCAGGACTGAATAGCTTTGCATATATGTGGTATTTAAAATTATGACATAAGATAGGTTCCCAGCAGTGGAGTGTAGAGGAAATTCAGGACGATATGGTGTCCTAGATGCCAAAAGGAGAAGGGTAGGAGTCAGTGATGACTGCTGTCTGAGTTCTGTCGGATGGTCTTGAATGAAGAAGATGAGGACTGGGCTTCAGCTGGTGCTGCACATAGCCTGGTGGAGGTCACTCTGACTGTAGAGTGGTAGGCGAAAATGTAATTGTAAGGCTGAGCATGGTGGCACACGCCTTTGATTCCAGCACCCAGGGGAGGCGGGGGGGAGCAGAGGCAGGAGGATCTCTGTGAGTTCCAGGACAGCCAGGGCTACAACAGAGAAACCGTGTCTTGTAAAACAAAACAAAAAGGAAAGAAAACCTAATTGTAATGAATTCAGAAGATTCAGAAGAGAGCTAGAGGACCCAGTCCTACAGACTCTGAGTAGAGACTGCACTTTGGGGGATTGTTAAAGGGAAGGAGAGAAGCAATGTGATAATAGGGGTGGGAATAAGGTCAGGAAGGGATGATGAGAAAATTGTGTGTGTGTGTGTAAGTACACCACACATGTGGGTGTCCATTGATCTCTGGAATGAGAGTACAGGCAGTTGTGAGTAACCTGATGTGAGTACTCTCAACCACTGGGGCTGTCTCTCCAGCCCTAACTTTCTGAAGTGACAAGGATGTGTGGTATTAGTTGTCAAGAGTAATGTCGTATGGGGAGGGGCTCTTGGAATCAGTCAGTCTCTGGAGTACGTCCTTGATGAGTGGGAAGAGGTGGGTAAGAAGATGCTGTTCCTCACAAAGCTTGCCTTGCTTGGGGTTTTATCTGGTCTAGTTTTTGTCTTCTGGACTTTGAAGAACTTTAGAATATGCCACAGTGTTGAGACAGTTTTTGTCTGGAGCCAAAAGATTATTTGCCTCATATATCTTCCTACCTGTGGTACTGTGTTGTAGTTTCAACACTTGCCAGTTGTCCTTTGGTTTAACATTAGCAACCACCTGGTGGATACAGAAGTTCAGAGGTAGAATCTGAGGTATACTAATGTACTTAGATGTATATATGAATTTTAGTTAAATGTTCATTTAAGAATCTTTTAGAGATAAAAATTGTACATATTTATAGGAAACTACTGATTTAAGTATCCATCAAAAAGAAGATGCGTAGTAATGAATGATTTCCTGCATACTTACTTAAAATGTAAAAGGTATTTGGTCTAAACAGACAATTATTTCAAATGTTTATTTATTTATTCACTGCATTGGTGTGTATTCAATGTTTCCCACGGCACAAGGGTAGATAGAGACCAGAGGACAACTTGAGAGTTTTCTTTTTCCTCCATGTGGGTCCCAGGAATGGGTTTAGATATTCAGGGTTGATGGCAAATCCCTTACCCACAGAGCCATTTTGCCAGCCCTCAATCTTTACTCTAACACTGATATACCTCTTATTCTTTAAAAAAAAAAACAAAGAGGATTTACATTTTACCATTTGAAAATGAATAATTAATTATATTGGATATTTGGATGTCCTTTTGTACAGTATAGGTAACCTGAAATTTCCATATATTCATATGGTTTACTGCAAAATACTTAAATTTAAATTAGAATGCATGGTACACAGAAGAAGGGGATAGAGATGAGACAGTGATTGACTGGCAGAGACCTTGACGATATGTGGTTATAGGACTCCACAAAAGGTGTGAGTGTGGAGCTGGAGGTACATGATTTGATGAACTGTATTTAAATAAGAGAACTGCTAACTGAAGGTAGGATATAGGCGAGAAGGAAGGTAAATTCACATTGTTTAACATCCTTTAACTAGTCACCAGGTATCATAAATAAAGTACTCAAAATTTTTTTGTTTTTTAGAGTCAGTGTCTTAGGTAGCCCAGACTGGCTGTTAATTTACTATTTAGCTGAAGATGGCCTTGAACTTCTGATTCTGGCTCCACCTCCCATGTGCTAGGATTACTAGATGTGTGCCTATATTGCCTAGTGTTTTATTTATGTGTTGATTTATTTTTTTTAATGATTTATTGTTATTTTATGTGCATTTGTGTTTTCCTCCATGTATGTCTATGTGAGCGTGTTGAATCCTCTGGAACTGGAGTTACAGACAGTTAAGAGCTGCCATGTGGGTGCTGGGAATTGAACCTGGGTCCTTTTGGAAGACCAGCTAGTGCTCTTGACTCCTGAGCCATTTTTCCAGCCTTTTTTTCTCACCCACCTGGTATTTTGTAGTTTGCACTGGAATCATCAAGCTCTAAGTCTGTTCATGACGATGTGGGGAAGTCTTGGCTGAGTTCTTTCAGTGTAGTGCATTTCTGCACTAAAACCTACCATGATTCGTTTTTCTCTCCATTTGTTTCAAGTCAGGGCATTTTCTAGATCTTGCCTTTCATCTATTAAGTGAATTAAAAGTAATTTCACATTGTCTTTATTCCCGTTTGTTTTGAAAGTTAAGATTTTTTTTTCTGGTACTCTTACTTTACACTCTTTGTCTTTTACTGACAGCTTCCATGCAAAGGAAACCCAAATCATATTCTTCTTCTTTAATGGACCAGATTCCTATCAAGTTCCTTATTCGACAGGCTCAGGGGCTGCAGCAGGAGTTGGGAGGTATTTGTCTGATTCATTTTCTTTGCTAAAGTTTATTGTTAAGAAATGTTACTGCTTATGCTGTAAGTTGTAGTAAGTGCTCAGTGTTAAAAAATGTAAAAAATTCAAGAATGAAAATGCTTTTTGCTTCTCTCACTAAATCCATTACCTTACTTGTACAAATCACCTCTCTCCTAGAGAATCCAGCTGTTTTCAGTGTGACATGCATTTTAAGTCATTTTCCTTATAGGGTGATCCAAATACAATTGCTAATATTTGGGCAATCGGGTACAGATAGATACACACACACACACACACACACACACACACACACACACACACACACACAAGCACAAGCACATGCCCACACACATGACGTATGGATGCCTACTACTTTAATTCCCTTCATCTTATGATGAGGTTATTTGGACATAACCCTGTTGTAAGCTCCTCTTATGTCAAGTCCAAAATGCATTTGTGGCCAGGTATGGTGGCTCAACCTTTCATGATAGCATTTGGGAAGCTGAGGTAGTCAGAACTCTGTGAGTTCGAGGCCATCCTGGTCTACAGAGTGAGTTCTAGGTTAGCCCAAGCTACATAGTAAGATCCTTTTTCAAAAACAATGAAATATTTGCTCCCTCCACTTAGAGGGCGCTGAGGCTCAGCAGCAGAGCTCACTCCGAGTAGCGCCTGTCTTCCCTGTGACGGCAAGCTCCCTGGGAGCTGCCACTGCTGCTGCTGGCCTTAGCAGCAGAGTTTGTCTCATTGCTAGCCTTGGAATGACTTCAGAGTAGTGCTTGCCACATATGGAGCACTTCCACAACACTGGAAATCTGAGCATTCATCAGTCCAACTATTCAAAGCTGTAGGCTGTCTTCGACCTAGAGAACATCAGTTTCATGTGGTTGAATCTAATAGATATTTACATAATATATTAAAAATATGAATGATATTATACACTGCCTTCTTTTTTTCACATTTCTCTTTTCATTACTTGAAATTTGCACCAAGGGCCTTACATGAATTAAGCTAGCACTCTATCACTGAGCTAAGTCTCTAGCCCTCTGCCTCTTCTGAGGTCATTTTTCTTGGAGTCTTAGATATGTATCATAACAATTCGTGTAGATCTACTTTATAGTTTGAAACTGCTCCATAATATTCCATGAAATATTAATATGGATGTAAATAGTGCAGTCATAAATATCGTTAGATATGTAATAATTTTAGAAATTTGATGTTTTCTTAATAAACCACCTTTCATGTTTCAGGGTGGTTTTCCTCTGTCTTTGAAGTTATAAGTTTTCTTCTCTTTCTTTGTTGTGGTTGGTTTGGAAGAGGAACATGAGCCTTCATTGGACATGGTTAGCCAGATGGCTACATTTGTTATAGCTTTCCAGAGTCTGTTTCTTAAAAACTGGTACAGTCTTTGGCAGCACTGGCCAATTAACATGTTTTACTGAAAAGAGTACAATATGTAGATTGGTTTGCGTTTGTCTCTGACTGTTGGGAGTAGTTTTAGCTGTACATATGTTTAGAAATTGAAAGTTCATTAGCACTTTGGGTTGTTACAGTGCCTTTTTGAATGTAGAAACATCACTTCTAAGCAGAATCCTGAGGGTCAGGCATGGTGGCACATGATAATCTTAGCACTTGAGAAGCTTTTTGTTTTTGTTTTTTCTCCTCTGAGCTCCTGAAACAAGCTATGTAACAGCTTTCAGGAGGAGAGTCAACAGTGGGATAAAGAAAGCTGGGGAAGATTTGTTACAAGATTTGGGGTCATTCTTGACTTACTGTCAGTTAGTCTTCTTGGAGACTGTTATTTAAAATGCTACACAGATTTGCTTTTCTTCAATTAGAAAAAGAAATCTTTCTGCTACTAGTATTGAATTTAAGCCCTCACACATCAGAGGCAATCCTCTGTCATTTTTCTACACTTCAGTCTTTGTTCTGAGGTAATGTCTTACTAAGTTGCCAGGCTGGCCCTGAGCTCAGTGTGTAGCTGAGGCAAGACCTTGAATCTAGGGTCTTACTGCATCAACTTTTGAACAGCTAGGATTCCAGCCCCAGGCCTAGCTAGAACTTCCAGAAATGTGGTAAGCGCCTGCAGAAGTGCCCTGGGCTGCAGTTTCTACCTAGTTCTAGCATGGTGTCTTCACCGTGCATGTGCAGCAGGATTCTCAAGGGTCTGATGATAGAGGCCTCAAACAGTTCTACGTGAAACACTATTAGCGAGCGACATCTCTGTTCCTTATGGCTGCTGGCTGCTAAAAATAGATTCCGTGAGAGAGACTGTGAGTCCAGGGAACTTACTGTTTTGTTTTTTTGTTTTTTGTTTTTGTTTGTTTTTAAGGGCTACATTCAGCTTTACTCCGTCTTCTAGCAACTAATTACCCCCATTTGTGTATTGTGGATGACTGGATCTGTGAAGAAGAAGTCACAGGCACCGATGCTCTGTTGAGACGAATGCTCCTGACTAGTAATGCCAAAAGTCATTCTCCGAAACAGCTGCAGGAAGGTGCGGTGACTGCCCATCTACCTCTTATTACTACTAATGAGGTGCTCTGTAGCTGGGATTTGTTCTGGTCAACTAGCTCCCCAAATAAAGACATGGAGACCTGTTATTAATTATGAATGCTTGCCCTTAGCTTAGGCTTGTCCACTAGCTCTTTTAACTTAACTAATCTGTTCTATTCATCTACATTTTGCCTTGGGGCTTTTCACCTTTCTTTCCTTCTGTATGTTCTAATTTCTTGCTTCTTCCATGTCTGGCTGGCTGGCCCCTGGCATCTCCCTGTCCTCTCCTCTTCTTTCTCCCTTGAGCCTGAATTCCTCCTCCTACTTACTCTCTCTGCCCGGAAGTCCTGTCTATACCTCTTCCTTTGCTATTGGCTGTTCAGCTTTTTATTAGACCATTCAGGTGCCTTAGGAAGGCAAGATAAAACAGCAATACATCTTCACATAGTTAAATAAATGCAACACATCTTTGCATGGTTAAACAAATATTCTGCAACAGTGCTAGGCTAATTGAAATCCTATATTGTGAACAATTGTGTTTGGGATAAGGATTTTGAACCAATTCTTTGCTGTGCTGGGTATCTAGTTGACATGTTTTATCATTTCCATATTCTGTGTTATATCACTAAAAAGACTTAGAAAAATCCCAAACTGGTTAAAAATAAATACAGTAGAACATGGCAGTGTACTTGCTTTTAATGGGTAATGTTCCAGATTAGTACCCCTGAATACAAATAGTGTGAGCCACACATTAACATCGCATTAGCTGTATTAAAAAATTTCAGTTCATAGCCTTCTGAAAACAATTGCACAATCACTGTAATGACTGTTATTGCACAATCTTTACTCCTCTTTGAGGTGACAACATTGGCCTTGGCACCCCACCCAAATCCACTTTGAATTTTTTGTTATTGTTGTTCTTGAATTCTTTTTGCTGTTATTTTTTTTTTTTTTTTGTTTTTCGAGACAGGGTTTCTCTGTGTAGCTTTGCGCCTTTCCTGGATCTCACTTGGTAGCCCAGGCTGGCCTCGAACTCACAGAGATCCGCCTGCATCTGCCTCCCGAGTGCTGGGATTAAAGGCGTGTGCCACCACCGCCCGGCTTGCTGTTATTTCTAAATCTTTCTCTTTCCCCCTTGGAGCTTCAGATTGAACTGGGCCTTTTGTGCATGCTGGACCGATGCTCCACTACTCAGCTTACTCCCCAGCTCTTGAGGTCATTGTCTTTTCATTTTCTCTACACAATTGAAGGAATTGTTAATTATCCAAAGCCGATTGTCCTTAACGTATAGATTTTGAACCCAACTACAAAGATGACGTGTGTTCTTGCCAGCTTTGCATAGTTTTTCTATATTTCTTTGAGGTACTGTTGGTTTTCCAAGGTGAAGGACATGCATGACTATCTTTTGAAGTAGTTGGTTGATCTTGGACATCTAGGTATAGTTACTGTGTTCATGATGGCAACAAAAATAAATTTAAAAAATATTTTTATTCAATTTCATAGTTCCAAAGTACTACTTCATTATGTAATCAAAATGAAGACTATTAATGGGATTGCTCTTTTTTTCATATATATTCAGTATTCCCATTTGGTATTTATTTTATGCTTGCTAGCCAGATGTAGTTAGTGACTACTCTAGTGAAGAGAGAATTCTAGATATTTCATAACAGCAGTGTGCTGGATGCTTGTCTCCTATAATGGAACTCCTGGAGCAAAGTATCAAGGATCTTGAAACTTCCAATAAGAAGCCACAGAAGCAACCCTCAGGCCCACTTTCCTACTTTGGTGCTGTGTTTAAAGAACAGCCTGAATTACCCAAGAAAATGAGGTTAGCCTTTGTGTCACTAATAGGATTTTGTTTTACACATAATTCATTGTTTATTAGAGACAAAAAAGAATTTGGATGGCAAGTAGATAGATGTTGCTAGTTGTTTTTACTCTTTTGGGGAGCCCACCACCCAGCTCCCAAATAAATCATACATGGAGGCCTATTCTTAATTACAAATGTTGGGTCTTAGCTTAGCTTGTTGCTAGCCAGCTTTCCTTAAATTATCCCCTCTACCTTTTGCCTCTGGGCTTTTCCGGTTCTCTTACTTCTGTAAATCTTACTCTTACTCCTTGGCTTGCTGTGTAGCCGGGTGGCTGGCCCCTGATGTCCTCCTTCTCCTCTCGCTTCTAGCTCCCCTTCTCCCAGATTTCTCCTTCTATTTATTTTCTCTGCCTGCCAGCCTCGCCAACATTTCTCCTGCCTTGCTATCCGCTGATCAGCTCTTCATTAGACCATCAGGTGTTTTAGACATACACAGTAACACAGCTTCACAGAGTTAAATAAATGCAACATAAACAAGAGTAACACACCTTAAAATATAATTCTGTAACAGATGGATGTTCTGATTTATTTTTTCATGAGGAATTGAATTTTATTTTTATTTTTACATAATTCTTTATTAATTCTTTGAGATTTCACATCATGTACCCCAATCATACTCACCTTCCAGTCCCTTTATATCTATCCCTCACCCCTGCAGCATGCCCCCCCCCAAAAAAAATTAACAACAAAACAATACAAAACAACTACCTCACTCTTTTGTCTTTCCAATACCTCTCATTCATCCTAGTGGCATTGGGAGCTCCTTCGTGCTTCAGGCAGTATACCCTTTTGTCCAGTGATCCCTACCCACAAAATATTTATTGTAATGAGTCATTGATGGGTCTGGTTCAAGGCCTCTGGCACACCATCATTACTGGACCCTCACTGAAATTCCTCTTGGATATCTGCTGTTGCCCCAAGTCATGGAGATCCTGCAACTATTGTGCTGCAGGACCAGTCCCTTCACATGCTCCAGCAGGTCACAGATGGGGTAGATGTTAAGGTGAGCCCACCCAAGGCCCAGGCAAGAAGCAGAACCAGCTCCTCTAGGCCCACGCCATCGAGGCCAGCTTTCCCATGCTTGTGGTGAAGGGTAGGGCCGCCTCTCCCATGGCGGGCGGGGCCTGAACTTTATGAAATAATATCTGCACTTTTATGGATTTCAGTTTAGTTTTTATTACATTTTAACTTACTTATTTGGTATATGTTTGTGTGGGGCCCTGCACATGCCACATTGCACATTTGGAAGTCAGAAGACAACCTGTGGGAGCTGGTTCTATTCTTCAGTGGGTACCGGGATGGAACTCAGGTTATCAAGCTTCACTTGCCCTAAGCCTCTGAGCCATCTCACCTGCCATCCAAGAAGTTGTCTAATGCCTGTATTAGCTTTAGTGAAAACTGTAGCTATGATTGAAAGTTTTATTTTTAACACCATTGCTTTCTGGGTTTGTTTGGCCCCCACTCTAAGAAAGCAGGATTTATTTCTGCTTGGTAAACATTACAGAATGTAGGTAATGATTGCAAAATTCTCTTTTTAGCATTTTCAGCTGTCCCAGTAAATCACACGCAAGTGATGCAGATTATGGAGCACTTGACTCTGCTTTCTGCCAGTGAACTTATACCATATGCAGAAGTATTAACATCCAACATGAACCAGCTGCTGAATTCAGGGGTTCCACGGAGAATTCTTCAAACTGTCAATAAGTTATGGATGGTTCTTAATACTGTGATGCCAAGAAGGTAAGTTCTGTGAACTGCTATATGCACTAGAGAAATGTATAGCTTTGATAATATACAGGAAATTTAGTTAGAAGAACATTCACAAGACCACTCACATCATTGTTTTTGATGTAATAATAAAATTCCTTTCTGAAGATGACTATTTAAAGGTATGTACATTAGCCAGGTGTGGAGACACTAATTTTTAATCTCACCATGCATTTGGGATGGAGAACAGGGAGATCTCTCTGAAGTTTGAGGACAGCCTTGTCTACATAGTAAGACATTGTTTCAAAAAAAAAAAAAAAAAAACCAAAACCGAAAAACAGATTTATTACATTTTAAAGAATACCTTAAGAAATAAAAGCTATTAACAATTTTGTGGGCTTTTTTTTGTTGTTTGTTTTTTGAGACAGGGTTTCTCTGTGTCCTGGCTGTCCTGGAACTCACTCTGTAGACCAGGCTGGCCTCGAACTCATAGAGATCTACCTGCCTCTGCTTCCTGAGTGCTGGGATCAAAGGTGTGCACCACCAGTGCCTGGCTCAATATTAACAATTTGAGAAAGTCCTTTAAAGTGGTTTCCTCTGTGTAGTTATTTGTGGCTAGCTGATTGAGATCATTGTATCTCACATCATTGCTGTGGTTCCAAATTCTGCTGCACCTTGAGTCATGGGGTTTGGCTTTAAAGTCCTTGGTCCCCAGGCTGTAATCCATGCAGTTAGATCTGAGTGTCTGCAGAGGAGCAAGGCATCAGTATATCTTAAAAACAGAGCCCCAGATGATGCACTGTGCAGCAGAGTTTGGAGAACAGGGGTGCACTTCCCTTGTGTTTATCCGTTGGTGGGTGCTGGCTCATAGATTGAATCAGTAACACTTGGCCAGTTGGGAGAATAATAACAGTGGTCTGACTTACCTGAGAGCTTGGTTTAGTAATTCTGGGAACTGGAATAGTTGTTCTTTCTAAATACAAATTTTATTATCATCAAATTAATAAATACCCATAACATAATGTATATTTCACACTTTTCTATTTTAGACCCTGACTACACAGATGGAAACCATTTTCAGCTTAAAAAAGAGAATTCTAGCCAGGTGGTTATGGTGCACACCTTTATTTCTAGCACTTGGGAGGTAGAGGCAGGCAGATCTCAGTGAGTTCAAGGCCAGCCTGGGCTACAGAGTGAGTTCCAGCATAGCCATTGCTACACAGAGAAACCCTGTCTCGAAAAACAAAAACTCTAGCATTTACATCTTTTCATTTGAGCTCAGTAATAGGCTTATAACAAGCTTGGCTTTTTGATTCTCCACCTTAGACATTGTTTGTGAAGTTTAGCAGTCTGACTTGCTTTTCCTTTCTGTGACTCTTGCTTTTCTTTTCTTCTTTTCTCTTCCCTCCCCTCCCCCTCTCTTTCCCTCTTCTCTCCCCTTCCCCTTCCCTTCCCCTTCTCTCTCCTGTCCCTCCCCTCCCCTCCCCTCCTCTCCTCTCCTGTCTTTGTTTTTTGAAACAGGGTTTCTCTGTGTAGCTCTGGCTGTCCTGGAACTCCCTTTATAGACCAGGCAGGCATCAAACTCAGAGATCTGCTTGCCTCCGCTTCCCCTTTTCTGGAATCAAAGGCATGAGCCACCATGCCTGACTCTTTATTTTCCAATACAGTTATATTATTTCTTTCAGTTAAAGCAATATTTAGTGTTTATCTTATGATTATGTATTTATAGTTGAACTGTGCAGTATACTGCAATATTCTTTGATTATCTTTTTCTTCTTCCTTCCTTCTCTCTTTTTTCTTTTTCCTTTTTTTTTTTTTTTTTTTTTTTTTTTTTTTGCTGGGAATTACACTCAGACTTCGAGCATGTTGGTCAAGTATGCTGCTCCTGAACTACACTTCCATAATGCTTTCTTTCTCCCCCCACCCCCCTACCCCCCAAACCCAGGGCCTTGCACTTGCTAGGCAAGCGCTCTACCACTGAGCTAAATCCCCAACCCCTCCACAATGCTTTCTTATACATGAATGCCATTCCCCATACTAGGCATTGCCATAATACTTGCCTTGTTTCCATTTGTTACACTATCAGTAACTGATAAATAGTTCATCCCATACTCTTTATTAAGATGAGGCTTACTTTATAGTAATTTGAACATATAATCAATCAGTAAAATGGTTTTCATGGGGACATCTTGCTTTCCATCTGAATTTTCCCTGGAACATGCACAGTTGTCCTAGAATTGCTGCTCTCTCTCTGCTTCATTGGCATCCCTGTTTTCTTTCTTGGTTTCTGTCCACATAGAACACGTACTGCAGTGCTTCCTGAGAACGGCTGAATGGGAGGTATTTTTTGCACATTGGAGGTTTTATTCTTTTCATATGTGGTTGCCATTTTACCCAAGTGTAGTTCATACATTTGAGTGCACTATTCTTCTAACTTGGAGTTTCCACTAGCTCTTAGTAATGTGGTGTTTCACTAGCCCTTTGTATATGACCATGGTTTTCATTCATTACAAGCTTTCCCTCCCTTTGTGTTCTGGAATTTAATAATGATGTGTTTTGATGTGTATCTTTTTTCCCTTCATAGTATTGGGTACTTGGTTGGCTTTTTTATTCTGGTGAGCAGTGTCTTAATTTTTAGGACTTTTTTTTTCCTGAATAAATTGAATTACGTGTGTCTTTGTGTTGGTATGTATATGTGAGTACAGGTGCCTGAAGAGGCCAGAGGTATTGGATGCCTGGGAGCTGGAGTTACAGGTGATTGTGAGCCACCTGACTTGGGATCTGGGAACTGAATTCCTCTTAACTTGTGAGCCACCTCTCCAGCTATAGTAATGCTGTATAAAGACTGGATGTGGTGGGACATGTCTGTCTATGACAGGAACACTCAGAAGGCAAGCGATGAAGACCATGAATGCCAGGATATCCTGGCAAACACAGGGAAACCTTATCGCATTTTTTGTTTATTTTTTGTTTTTCAAGACAGGTTTTTCTCTGTGTAACTCTGGCTGTCCTAGAACTCAGTCTGTAGATCAGGCTGACCTTGAATTCAGAGACTCACCTGCCTCTGCTTACTGAGTGCTGGGAATAAAGGCTTCTGCCACCACTACCACCAGGCCTTTTTCCCCCTAATATCTTGTCATATTTTCCATTGCTTTGGAGCTTTTTTTTTTTCCTTTAGTGTATTTTAATCTTTTTCTAAATAAAACCTTGTGAATGTCTGATCCTTGGATACCCATTCATATTTAAGTGGCAAGTTTTGTGTCAGATAAAGTTGGTTGATTTCTGGGCTTCACTTCAGGTACCTTCTGTGTATATATTTTCCTCAGTAATTCTCTGGTGTTGTTAGCTCAGCCACCATATCTGTAATCTGTCAGATTTCAAAGTGACATTTTACAGTGAGACTTTGTGATGCTAAATATGCAATAATGATAGACTTATGGGGCCAGTACAGTTTCAAGATTTTGATGTTTTTTTAAAACTGTACTATTCCTCTTAGTATGCTAAGTATGTTAGAACTGAGTTTTTACTTCGGTTTCTTCCCAGATACTATGATTGTTCCACCTAAGCTGCAAAGACTTTTTCTACTACTGTGTTCATTGTTTAACTTGTGTTTGCTTTAGAGACATAATAATATGTCATAGGTGTCTAGTTTTTAATTTTTCAGAGTTCATTTATTCCCAGGGCTGGGTATGTAGCTGGTTGGTAGCGTGCTTACCTAGCACACACGAAACCCTGGGTTCCACTCCCAGCAGTGCAGAAATGAGTCATGGTGGTCTATTCCTATGATCTTAGCACTTTGGAGGGCCTGCAGGAGAACCAGAAGTTTGGGTCATCCTCAGCTATCTAGTGACTGAGGGGCCAGCCTGAACTACCTGAGAGCCTTTCTCAGAAACAAACAACAAAAGAACTCCAAAGGTTTTTTTCCTACCTGCTTCCCCCTCCCTTTTTTTGTCTATCTTGAAAATGCTATTTTTTTTTTTTTTATACACAGGATTAAATGACTGTAGATGTGAGTTAAAACACAGCTATTATGAACATGTGATTGTTTTCTCATCAGGTTGTGGGTGATGACCGTTAATGCACTCCAACCTTCCATAAAGTTTATCCGACAACAAAAATATACCCAGAATGATTTGATGATAGATCCTCTCATTGTCTTGAGGTGTGACCGGAGGGTTCACAGGTAAGTTATTTGAATTTCATTTTTCAATAGAGTTGTACTTTGGAGAACCAAAAGAAATTGAAGAAAATCATCTTAATATCCTATTGCTGTTACAAGTACATATATGTAATATAATTCATGTAGCTATCTGGTTTTCTAGCGGCATATATTCATAAATTACAGTCTCTTCAGTGTAATATTGGGTATGTGGGCAATAAGACCTAGCCTTAGAGAAAAGGCATTATTGGCTTTGGTAGTCCTCAGCAGGGCTCTTGTGCCTCTTCGGATGAAGCTCAGTGAAGAACACCACTGTTTCCACTAGTCCATTAACAAGATTTTGCTTTATTATGTTTTATTTTGAAACAAGATATCACTATGTAGCTGAGGGTAACCTTGAACTCCTCTGTTCTAACTCCTGATTTTCCTGCCTCAGTCATCTTAGTGCTGGGATACAGCTTGAAAAATCATTGTAAAACACTGACACATTTGTCAGTCATTACATACTTACATACATCTGTGGCTGGGTGTTCCCTGCAGTCTTGCTGTTGTCAGTGGTGCCCTACATACCGCGGACTGTGTGTGTGTGCACTGTGTACTGTATACTGCGTGTGTGTCTGTGTACTGTGTACTGCGTGTGTCTGTGTACTGTATACAGTGTACTGTGTGTGTGTCTGTGTACTGTGTACCGCATGTGTGTACTGTATACAGTGTACTGCGTGTGTGTGTCTGTGTACTGTGTACTGTGTGAGCACTGTATACTGTGCAACATACCCCTTTCTTTTCTTTTCTTTCTTTCTTTCCTTTTTTTTTTTTTTTTAAAGACAGGGTTTCTCTGTATAGTGCAGCTCTCTTGGAACTCACTCTGTAGACCAGTCTGTCCTTGAACTCAGGGATTTGCCTGCCTCTGCCTCCTGAGTGTTGGGATTAAAGGGGCACGCCACCCCCGCCAGGCAACATACTCATTTTTAAGAATTTGATTCATATTGTTTTCCTGCCATCCAGAAGGCTCAGCTAATTTGCATTCCATTACAGTGTTTTACATTGTATACCTTGTACATTTCTATTTTATATTTTATAGGAAAATGAGAAATGGATTTCTTTCTTATTTTATATTTTTGCTAGATTGAACATTTTAATATGTTTGTTGGCTGTTGTTATTTCTTGTTTATCTTTCAGAAAAGCTCTTTTTTTTTTTTTTTTTCTCGAGACAGGGTTTCTCTGTGTAGCTTTGCGCCTTTCCTGGAACTCATTTTGGAGACCAGGCTGGCCTTGAACTCACAGATATCCACCTGCCTCTGCCTCCCGAGTGCTGGGTCTAAAGGTGTGCACCACCACGGCCGGGCTACTTTTCGTTTTTTTTTTAAAATAATTCCCAGGTGTGGTCACACATGCCTATTAAGAATCATGAATTTGGGCTGGAGAGATTGCTCAGTGGTTAAGAGCACTGTCTGTTCTTCCAGAGGTCCTGAGTTCAATTCCCAGCAACCACATGGTGGCTCACAACTATCTGTAATGAGATCTGGTGCCCTCTTCTGGCCTGCAGTCATAAATGCTGTATACATAATAAATAAATCTTTATTTTAAAAAAAAAAATCATGAATTTGAGGCCAGCTTGGGCTACATAGTGAGTTTCAGGCTTGCCTTGGGTATGACTCTTTTTTCATCCCCTAGTTCTTTGAAATGATTTAAAACTTAGCATACAAAGTAATGCATTTCATTATTAAGATTTTGCCTTCAACACACACACACACACACACACACACACACACACTCTCTAAAAAAGGGAAAATGATATCAGTTCTGAATATATATTATAGTTTAAATTATTTGGATGTTGGAGATTGAACCTGGGGCCCTGAGTATGTGCCCTCCCTTTGAGCTGCATCCCTAGCCCTATTGTTTTGTTTTACCTTTTTTTTTTTTTTTCCTTTCTGGTTTTTCGAGACAGGGTTTCTCTGTGTAGCTTTGCACCTTTCCTGGAGCTCACTTGGTAGCCCAGGCTGGCCTCGAACTCACAGAGATCCGCCTGGCTCTGCCTCCCGAGTGCTGGGATTAAAGG